CATGTTAATTCAGTTATATATTATATATTCTATTTGATTAATATTTCGTTAAAATAGTATACAGTTTTTTTTATATTAATATTCAGTTATATAAAGTGTTAATTTAAGTTTAATATGCAAAAATTAACATACGATGATTATTTCAGGAAACCGACTCTATTACGGATCAGTCGAGTCAATCGAAGTCTACGAAATCAGCAACACAATTTAGCGTGCAGCGTTCGGATATTGATGGACTGCGCATGAGAATCTCGGCCATAAGGAACCCGCCCGCAGCGCAAGCAGCCGCAACGTCAACGAACGCAGCAACAAGTTTAACAAATTCGACTCAAGCTCGAAAGGAAGCGTCGACAGTTGAGAATATTTCGCGTAAGAAGCTGACAAAGGTGCGCAAGATGAGCGAGGCTCAGGAGCTGAGCGGCTGCTCGACAGATGCCAAGGACAGGCATAGAGACAAAGAAAGGGAGAGAGAGAGGGAGAAAGATAAAGTCTTATCAATTGCAAACACAACCAAAAAGATAAAAGTCAAACGGAAGAAGATTGCGCAAAAGAGCAGCAGCAACTTCATGGCCAATAACAATAATAATAACAATAGCAATGGTAAAACGAATCGCACGGCTGCAGCTGTATTTAGCTCCGATTCGGATGATGACTTGCCCTTGAAGATGCACATTCAGCGTGCACCGCGTCTGCTGCTAACGGCAATTGGTGGCAGCCAGGGCGACCATCATCACATGGGCATCTCCAGCAGCGACAACGAGGAGCTGGTCAAAGCAGCCGACCTGGTCAAGGCGGCCATTAAGCGTGTCGAAAGCGATGCCGAGGACAACAGCAGCATTTCAGCTGGCATTGCTGCCGCCAAGGTTAAGCAACAGCATCTGCCCCAATATCAATCCACACTGTTGCAGGACTTTATGGAGAAGACACAAATGCTGAATCACACAGGCAGCACCAACAGCTTAGCCGATGCAGCAGCTGCAGCTCCAGCTGCATCGGCATCTACTAGCAGCAGCAGCAACCTCGCACAACAGCAGCTGTTGCAGCAACAGCAACAGTTGCAGCAACAGCAACAGTTGCAGCAACGCAAGCGACGCGGCCGCCCCAAGAAGCTGCAACCAACTGTTGCCGCTGCCAGCGTAGCTCCCCTGCCCGTYGCCGTGCCCACCATCAATGAGTCGGCAGACTCGGGCGTCATMAGCACCACGCCCTCGCCCAAAATGCAGCCAGCGGCAATGGCCAGCGACAATGCAAAGCCGAAAATTGATATGGCCTATCTGGATAAGCGCATGTATGCAACGGCGGAACGTGTGCTGTATCCGCCGCCGCGCAGCAAGCGACGGCAGGGCAACAAGAAGGACAAGAAGGAGGATGTGCAGGTGGATCCGCTGTGGCGCAAGATCGACGTGAACAAGAAGTTTCGCTTGCGCAGCGTCAGCGGCTACAAAAGCGACGGAGGCGGCGGTGGTGGCACATCGAATACCATTTGCAGCAAAATCCTCGCCGCCAAAAGCGGCTACGTCTCGGACTATGGCAGCGTGCGGCATCAGCGGCACAATCACAATTCGGGCTATAAATCGGATGCCAGCTGCAAGAGCCGCTACAGCAGCCGCAGCTGCGCCAGTCGCAGTCGCAGCCGCATGAGTCGCGCCAAGAGCTGCGGCTATCGCAGCGACTGCAAGGAATCCTCGGGTAAATCAAGCAAATCGCTGCGGCGCCGCAGACGCGCCTCTATGCTGCGGAGCGGGCATGAGCAGGCAGCGAGTGCGCTCAGCGATGAGCACGATCAGGATATACTGCAGCTGGCGGGGCTCTCGCTKGGCCAGAGCAGCGAGGAGAGCAACGAGTACATTAGCAAGCCGAGTCTCAAGTGTTTGCCCAGCACGAGTGCCAGCAAGAAATATGGTGAGATCAATCGGTTTGTCACCACTGGACAATATTTTAGTGGAGCAGCAAAGGCCACAGCYGGGAGTCTTGCGSCCGGAGCCAGCACGCCGATAGCGACAGCAGCGGTGGCAGATAACTTTATGCAGGGTATGAGATACAGAATGAATTATATATAAATATTTGACTAAATATATTTGATTTTCTAGGTAAGATGTTGCTGCAACGCAAGCACTCCATTAGCCAGGATACGATTGTGCCCAGCAAGAGTGCGTGTAAAATAAAGAGTCGACGTTCGTCGGCGGCCAGCATGTGCAGCAGCTATGTGTCGGGCGTGTCGCGACGACGACGGCAGCGCAGGAAGAGCATGAGTCATTCGAAATCCTTAAACATTGACTCAAAGCTGCTAACCGAAATAGACATCATTGCAAGCACATTTCACGCGCGGTGTCGCATTCAGGAGGATCGGCTGACAGCGAGCAGCGGCAAGGAGAAATTGCTGGCCGAGGCGAACAAGCTGCAGGCCACGCNCACCCATTGCAGCGACGTTGCCGCTGCTAAATGGCGGCGGCAGCGGCAGCAGCAACGTAGCCGGCACTGGCAGTGGAGCCACCAAGCCGCTGAAACGTGCCCTGAAGAAGCGCAAACTAAACGAACCGCTGATTGACTTTGCCATGCTCTCGGCCAGCGCTGGCAATGCGAATGGCATCAGCAATAGCAACAGCAGCAGCAGCAACGGCGGCGCCAAGCGACGCCATAAGAAGTCCAGCAGCTACAGCGGCGGCAGCAACAGCTCTAGTCCCGACGATCATAAGCTGCCGYTGAAGAAGCGCCATTATCTGGTCACAACGGGCGCCGAGGTGTCGGCGTCGGCGTTTGCCAGCAACGGCAAGCTGAATGCCGAGGCGTGGGCAGCTGCTGCAGCGGCGGCCAAGAGCAGCGTCAATACCAAGGCCCAGGCGCAGTTCAATGCCAAGAAGCTAACGCCCAAGAAGCGACATTTGCTGGTCAGCCAGGAGGCCAGTGGCAGCGGCTCCTCGGCAGCGGGCAACGCCTCTCCATTGCGCATTGTCGTCGATAATAATTCCATAAGCGGCGGCAAGCTGCTGGACATCAGTCCCAGTTCGCTGTGCTCGCTGAAGCAGCAGCGTCGTCAGGGCGCCAAGTCGAAGAACTCCACGGTGGCGATAGCKGGCGCAGCTGCTCGTGAGCTGCCGCAGCAACTGCAGTCGCCCGCMGGCAGCAACAGCTGCCCGCCGCCGGGCATCTTTGAGCCGTCGGTGGAACTGGAAATCCAAATACCCATAGCCAAGTTAAACGAGGCGGTTATCACAAAATCGGAGGTGGAGTCACCTCTGCTGGCAGCCATGGACATGAAAGAGGACGCCAACAAGAAGGAGCAGTGCCAGCGCGTGCTGGAAACGCTGCTGCACAAGACGGGCGGCAATTTGTTGCTCAAGCGCAAGCGCAAGAAAATCAATCGCACCGGCTTTCCCACAGTGAGGCGGAAGAAGCGTAAGGTGAGCGTTGAGCAGACAGCGAATGCACAGCAGCAACAGTCACAGCCACAGCAACAGCAGCAGCAGCAGCAGCAGCAGCAGCAACTGGAGCAACAGCAACTGTTGCCCGCTCGTGAAACGCGCAGCAGCAGCACTCTGGCTGCCGCTGTCACAATGGATTGCGAGCGTGTGCCGCAGCCAGGCGAGGCGCGAGAGACATTTGTGGCTCGCAGCAGCAACCAGCGCACGCCGCGTTTGTCGGTGGTGGCCCTGGAGCGTTTGCAGCGACCCCCAACGCCAGCAAATAGTGGAGCGGCAGCTCGAGGCAAGCCACGCGGCAGAGGCAGACCSAARTTGCAAAAGCAGCTGCCACAGCAACAGCAGCAGCAGCAAGAGCAGCCACAAGAGCCCCAGCTAGAGCCGCTTCTGGAAGTGCAGCCAGCGAAAAAGCGCGGACGTGCTGCCAAG